CCCAGTCTGGTGCCCACCCCAGCCCGGTGCCCATCCCCCAGCCCGGTGCCCACCCTGGCCCGCTCCCCACCCCAACCCGCTGCCCACCCAGTCCAGTGTCCACCCAGCCCGCTGCGTCTTTGCTCATGCTTGTCAGGCTGGCGAGACATCCTCTGCTCTGTCTTCCCTCCGGTTCTCTCTCTGTCTTTTTCTCTCCTTGTCCATCCTTGGTCTGTTCCTGCATCTGACTCTCTGTCTCTGTCTCCCTCTTTGTTTCCATCTCTCCTGCTCTGCCTCTGTCCCTTTATGGATCCCTGGGGCTCAATTTTCTGTTTCAAAAAAAGTCAGCATTACAGGCTGTTGAAGGACATGGGCTTTGGAATCCAGTGGTGGCCTTTAGTGGCCACGTGGTCTTGGGCCATGGTGCCTACCTCCACGAAATGGGGCCAGCATGAGCTTTGAAGGGTGTGGTGGGACCTGAACAAGACAGCCCGGTTCTTGCTTCTCACACGGGGGTGTGCGTGCTTTCAGGGGAACAGAACTTCTGCCAGGGAGGCTGGTGCCCGGGAAGCCACAGGCTTGCCTTCCCGGAGAGGGACTCGAACTCCAAGATTTGGAGGAAGTTACCTTAGCTTTATAATAGAGAAAACAGATTTACTCTAGACTGGAATGGAAAACGTACATTTGTTACTCATTCTAAAAGCAGACCGAGTATCTGTGAAGGTGTTTTGAGCAGGAAGAGGGAAGTTTGGGGTCTACTCCAGACCTACCAAGAGTGCCCCAATGTGGCGTGGACCCCTGGGCAAGGACAGCAGCAGGAGCTCTGTAAACACTGGTTTCCTCTGGGCCTTTCTCCCCCTCCTTCCTCTCCCTCTGTCTCCATCTCTGCTTCTCTCCCCCTCTTCCTGTGAGCAGAGCCCAGGGACCAGGCTGGGCAACACCAACCCGGACTGCCTTGCCCCCCGGAGCTACCCCAGGGTCTCAGCCCCCAGCCCATCCCCCCAGGGCCCCTCCCCACCTGCCACCTCGGAAGCAGGGGTCTGTGCTGTGTGTTGCGCATTCCCTGCGGTGGGCCTTGGCCTGAGGCCCCCCCCCAACACTCCCCGCCCAGCACGTGTTCACATGGTGCGGCAGGGCGGGGAAGGGGGGTGGCCGGGAAATGCTGGGGACCCAGAGGAAGGAGGTGGGGAGAAAGTAGGGGGGCGGCGGGGACCCTGCCCCTGCCCCTCCCCTGCGGACGGCTGGCTGGCTGACGCCTGGTGCGGTTGCAGACCCTGAGGAAGAAGGGCTTCAACGGCTGTGACAGCCCCGAGCCCGACGGGGAGGACTCGCTGGAGCAGAGCCCCCTGCTGGAGGACAAGTACCGGCGTGCCAGTGAGGAGCTGGACGGGCTCTTCCGGCGCTACGGGGTGAGCTCACTCACCGTGTCTCTGTCGGCCCCTCCCGGCCCCCCCAGGCGCTGCACAAGAAGCACAGGGAGTGTGAGAGCCCCGAGGTGGACGAGGTGTTTGCCCTGACCCCCCAGACGGAGGAGAAGTATAAAAAGATAGACGAGGAGTTTGATAAAATGATGCAGAGTTATAGACTGGCCGTGAGTAGTCGCATGGAGCGGTCTCCCCATGGTGCATGGTGTGGCTTCGCGCCGGCCCCCGGCCGCCCCTGACGCACGTCCCACGCTGAGCCGTGCGGGGCTGGCGGTGACCACCGAGGCACCGCTGACCTGGGTTGTGGACTCCTTCCGGACGGAGCAGGGCCAGGAGAGGCCCGGAGCGCCCCTCTCGCCAGCAAGGCATGTGTAGATGACGTGAGGGCTTTAGACGGCAGGAGAGTAGGGGTCGTGTTCTTTGTCCAGGTCTTCTCAGGGCAGAGTCCTCAGGGGCCTACGTGGCCACCCCGGCCAAGACCCTCGGTGCAGGCCTTCCCCAGCTGCGTGGGTGCACGTGGGTCTGTATTCAGGCCCTCTAACCTGCTCCCCGTGTGTCCTGCCTGGCTGAGGACTAACCCACCTCCACGGGGGGCCTCGGGAGTCCCCGGTCCCATCTGCCGTGAGCAGAGCCTGTTCTCGTTCTCTGGGCCAGAGCTCGATCCCAAAGCATTCCCTCCAGCGAGCTTCCTCCGAGAGGGCCCGGGGCAGAGAGGTCGAGCTGCGGGCCCTCAGACACACAGCCCAGAGACCAGAGGAACCCGTGCCTGCCCTCTCTCGGGCACGGTGGGTCCAGGGTGGGGGCGTTGCCTGGCCTGACCCCACCTCGCCATCCTCTGTCTAGTCAGCTGTGCCGGCCCCCAACTTTGCCATGCCCGTCACGGTGCCCGTGTCCAGTCAGAGCTCACTGCAGTTCAGCAATCCCAGCGGCTCTCTGGTCACCCCTTCCCTGGTGACATCATCCCTCACGGACCCGCGGCTCCTGTCCCCGCAGCAGCCAGCGCTGCAGAGGAACAGCGTGTCTCCGGGCCTGCCCCAGCGGCCGGCCAGCGCAGGTGAGGTGAAGATGAGGTGTGCTGGGGACTTGGGGATTCCGTCTCCCTTCGCCCCACACGGCATTCTGCCGCTCGCTCGTGTGGCTCCTGAGGGAAGGACCAGGGCTCCTCCCGCTGTTCGGTCTGGGGACCTGCCGTGGAAGGCGCCGTCCTGCCAGCTCACCGTGGTTCTGTTTGTCCCCAGGGGCCATGCTGGGGGGAGACCTCAACAGTGCTAACGGAGCCTGCCCCAGCCCTGTTGGTGAGTGCGGCTGCCCGCCTGCCTTCTCAGCGGCTTCGCGGGCCCGGGGACCAAGAGGGACCCCAATGAGACGGGAGGAAGGTCCCAGGGCCCGAGTCGAGCCTGAGGCTTGTCTGCAGCCCTGATGGGTGTGGGCAGTCATCAGAGATCTGGGCTCAGGGAATCCTGGGCAAGCTGGAAGAAGGGACCAACATTTCCAGCCGGGGGAGAGGATGCAAGTCTTCTCCATCGAGTGGGGGCATCTGGGTGGGATCTGGAGGGTGTGCACGGTGTTGCCGACGCGCTCCCACACAGACCCCCGGCCGCCGACGGCCTGTCCCCTGCCCTGTGCTGTTGTCCGGTCGGTGACTGTGACTTCAAATGTCACCATTGACGTCACGCTGACATTCCTGCCATTCCCGGAGTGATCCGGGAATTGGGATGAGGGCAGCCCCACACTTCCAGGGGAACAGTGTGCTCCCAGGGGACAGAGCAAGGTGACACTGGGGACTGTGGTCGGCCCCGCTTCTCTGGGCTTCAGAACCCCCAGTTCAGCCCCAGGCACCACCTAATGCCTCATGGCAGTGATTGTGTAGCGGGGTCGGGGAGTGGAAGGGATGGTGGCCGCCCTTTCCTCTCTGTGGAGGGCTGGAGAAGCACCTGCAGACTTCAGGCCGTGACGGTCCTTCCAGGCGCTCAGGCCCAGCATGCGGAGCGCGGGTGGGGCCTGGCACGGCTTCCAGCCAGCTGCGTCGCCCTGGGCAAGTCATTGTGCCTCTGCCAGCCAGGCCTCGAGTCTGCTGTTTTGTGACCGGGGCTGACCCACGTCCCGTCTGCCTCGCCGCACAGTTAGCGTGAGGGTTAAATGAGATCGTGCGCACGTGGAGGCCCTGTGTGGATCGTGGCGCAGATGCGCAAGGTCGTTACGACACGCAGGTCTCGTCGTGGTGGTGGCTGTGTTATCGGGCCCCTGTGACCAGTGACAGCCCCACCACCGGCGGATAGCTCATCTTCTCCAGAGCCGCGGGCATCCTGTCATGGGCCCCCGTCTCCTGGCCAGAGCTGCAGTCTGAGTGGTCGAGGTGCCTTGGGGGTCCTCATGGTGGCCCAAGTCCCAGGCCGCCCTCCCCGTCTGCAGCCGGGTCCCTGGGATCGGTCGGGGCAGGTTGTGGGATCGGAAGGTGCTGGACGCCCTGTCTGTGAGACCAGAGGGAGGGAAGGGGGCGAGGCGAGGCCACTGCGGCGTCCAGCTCCAGTGGCCCCCCACCCCTGCTCCGGCACACGTCGCTTAGAGGCAGGGGAATAACCAGTCATTGCTGAGTGAGGGGGCTTCCGCCCTTCTCCCAGGACAGGGTGGTCTTTGGCGAAGGTAAGAGTCTGAGTATGGAGTCCTGGCACACGGGCTGGGGGCTGGGTCCGTGTCTGACCTTTGACCCCCATCTCCTCCTCTCAGGAAATGGCTACGTCAGTGCCCGGGCTTCCCCCGGTCTCCTCCCCGTGGCCAATGGCAACAGTCTCAACAAGGGCATCCCTGCCAAGTCTCCGCCCCCGCCAACCCACAGCGCCCAGCTTGGAGCCCCCAGCCGCAAGCCCGACCTGAGGGTCATCACTTCCCAGGGAGGAAAGGGGTTGATGCATCACTTGGTGAGTGGGTGTCTGCACTGAAGGGCAGGGGCTGGGGCTGGGGAAGAGCCGACCTCCAGCAGGAGAGATGCAGGCTAGCCAATAGGTGGGACTGCCGGAGGGAGACCGTAGAAGCCGGACTGCTCGTGAGCTCTTTCTCCCCAGAGGGCCTTGTGAGAGGTTGGAACGTGGACGTGCCAGCCGCAAGGGCAGGAGGAAGGGACAGGAGGTGGGAGAGAAGGTTCTGTGCTGGGGAGGAGGACGGGAGGGATTTGCCACCACAGCGGAAGGATGAAGGTTTCCTAACGGGTGCATGTTGGGATGTGGCATTTTCTGGAGTCGGTCGGGACGGGGAAGAGCTCTGTCCCAGGCTGGACAGCCGTCCTGCTCGTGTGTGAAGAGCTAGGTGGGGCGGCTGTGGGGGCCGGGGTGTGAGGGGAGGGCAGAGGCCGCAGACTGAACTGCCCCCTTGGTTTTATTTCCGCTCCCAGACTGAGGACCATTTAGATCTGGTAAGTGAGGCCCTGAGACGTGTGCGGTGGCTTGAAAGCCTGGCTCCGCCCGTGGCTCTGCGCCACAGCGTGGAGCGCGCCCTGTCCCTCCCCCAGCGGGCGTGGTGTGTGTTGTTTGGTTACGGGCCAGGAGCTGTGCTCAGTGCCAAACGGGGTACGGAGGTGAATGGGGCGGGGGTCAGGGGTTAGACATGCATGTGTGTCGCGGTGTGCACGTGGACGTCTTTATGGGACGTTGTGTTCACGCAGACCACCCCTTCTCTGCGTGTGTGTGTGCGCGCACGCGTGTGCATGCCGCGGGGGCCAGCCCCAGGCCTCAGGGGCCCCGTCTGGCTGTGCCCCAGGATGCTGCGTTAGGGGGGCTGGACCGGACTTGCCCTCTGGCTCAGTCCCACTGAGCATGCTTGGAACCCGGGGAGGGGCCTCCTTAGGAGGAGAGCCAGCCAGACCGGGACAGCACGTCCCCCGAGGCGGCTGAGGCCCAAGGAGAGGCCAGAGCTGCCCGTGGCCGGGGCTCGCCGCCGCCTCTCTGCCTCCCGTGTGCTCAGCCCCGCACAGCCCGCCTCACACGCGCTCAGACACATGCCGCCCCGCACGCGCTGTCACACTCGCGTACTCACCCTCAGCCAGGAGTGGGGCGGGGGCTCCTCCCTCCCCAGCTCCCTGACGGGCGGCCAGAGAGGCTGGAAAAGGCAGGCGGGCTTTGGCGGCCAACACGGCGGCGGTTTCGGCCCCAGCGCGGAGCTGGAATAAACAAGTGACTCAGCGGCAGATGGAGCTGACAGCCCCACACACGTGTGTGCACACGCAGGCACACACCACACCGGGCCCCTCGCTGCCCGCACACATGCTGGCGTGCCCCGGCAGGGCGTGCGCTGCCCCAGGCCGGGGGGGAGGGCCCCGGGCCTGCCCTCGCTCGGCCCCGGGGCGGCGTGCTGTCCTCCATGCACGTGTGCACGCCCCCCTCCCCGCTCGCAGCCTCTCGGGGAATGCACCAGCGCTCGTGTGGGTCTGCGGGCGCCTCTATGCCCAGCCGTCCCCCCTGGGCTATGGGGGGCAGGGGCCCCAGCTGGGCCTTGCAGTGGAGGGCCAGGGGAACGTAGCCACCCTCCTGCCGCCTGGTGACAGACCCTTTCCTCCTGCAGAACAATGCCCAGCGCCTTGGGGCCTCCCAGTCTACCCACTCACTCACCACGCCAGTGGTTTCCGTGGCAACACCGAGTTTACTCAGCCAGGGCCTCCCCTTCTCCTCCATGCCCACTGCCTACAATACAGGTGAGTCCTCAAGCCCCTCAGCCCCCCTGTAGCTGCTTGGCCTTGGGGCGGGGCGGGACCAGAGGGGGAGCAGGAGATAGTCCCGGGGGATGCTCCAGTGGATTGCGGGGAGCCCCCACCTGATGGAGGTCGCCAGCAAATAGAAACAGGATGCCCACTGAAATGTGAATTTCACATAAAACAAGGAATAATTTTTCAGGATAAGTATGCGTCAAAGACGTTCTTCTGCTGAAATGTTAAAAAATTATTCATTGTTTTGTCTGAAATTCAAATTAATAAGTAGGTATCCCCCATTTTTAATACAGGACCTAATGGAGAAAAGAGTCCCCGCCCTTAGGGACTGAGGAGGAGCCGGGCCAGAGGTGGGCTGAGCAGATGATTCCAGCAGCCCAGGGCTGGGGGGAGAGGAGGGGGCATGGTCGGTTCAGCAAGGCTTCCTGGAGGAGGAAGAGGAGGAGGGAGTAAGGGAGAGAAGACAGGTAGAGGAGGCCAGAGAGAGAAAGCCTGTCAGGAAGGTTTACCCAGCCTCCCGGGAAAGCCAAGAGGGGTAGGGGGAGGGGGGAGGACAGGGCCCCTCACCCTGGTGGTGGCTCCATGGCGGGCTGATGGGGAGGGGAGAGGAGTGGGGGGACCGATGAAGGTCGGGGAGGGGTGTGAAGGTGGAGAGCTGCTCAGAGACACGGGAGAGGTGTCTGGGTCGAAGAATTCAGACAGGACACCCAGTGCCCAGGCCGTCCTGGGTACCCACTGCCCCTCCCAGGACCAGTCAGTGACACTCTGGGCCATCCTGGCCCGCACTCCACGCTGTCGTGTCAGGAAGGACTTCCCCGTGGGGAAATCCCACTGCCGAGACCTCAGCCACCCCTCACGGTCCCTCACCCCTGACTGGCTGGTGCTGGGGCTGTTTGTGATGAGATCAGACTAGATTAAAAGGTCCCTAAACTTCTTCCTCCTCCCCAAGCCTCCATTCCGGACACCCATACAGATCCTCTCACGATCCTACCTCTTCCGTGGGTAAAAATCTAGAGCCCAGGCTCAGACACAGGGAAGCCCTGGGGGCAGGAAAGAGCTGGAGCTGCCCCACTGTGGAGAGGGGCCAGACCCCGCCGTGCGTGTCCTCGTCCAGGTTTTCCCACCCAGGTGTGGTGCGGGCAGTCCCTCGTCCCGTTCATGCATGGGGTCCTCGGGCCGCCTCAGATGGCCGTGCCCCTGGGGGCCAGTGTCCTCTGGGAGAGTCGTGGGCAGGCGGGGAGTTTGGCAGAGGGCAGCACAGACCACTGTTCAGGAGCCACCGTGTTTGGGAATCCCAAAATGTGATGGTGGTTTCCTGCCCTCCTCTCTGGCCCTTGCAAGTCTCTTGAAGCAGGAGGGGAGGTTGGCGGGCGTCCGTGAAGCTGGGACAGGCGCCCGGCAAGGCCAGACTTTAGACTCTTTTGTCAGTCTGGTGTGAAAGCAGGTTCTGACCCTGGGCCTGCCCTTGGGGCCCTGCTTGGAAGTGTGGGCTTCCTCCCATCCTCCCAGGAGCCGGGGCTCCGGTTCGTCCTGCTGCTGCAGTCTGTCAGCAGGCCTCAGTTTCGACAGCGGGTGTGTTCAGGTGCCCATACGTACATAAACAACACACTGCTGTTTCGCTGTTCACCGCTCGCAGTCCTTGGCCCCGGTCCAAGTTCCGGCTGCGGGCGATGTGGCTCTGGGGACGTCCTGGGTAAGGGACAGGCCTGGCCCCCTGCTGACACTGGCTGCAGAGGTCTGGTGGCTGTGGGTGGGCTGCCAGGCGGCCTGTGGGCCACGTCCTCCCGTCCAGGACGCCCCGGGCCTCCGCGTAGATGGGGCTGGAGTGTGGTGGCAACATGCGGGAGCCCCTGCCCCTCGGCTGCAGAGGGGTGGTGGGCGAGGTTGTACGCTCTTTGAGCGTGGGCATCCTTGTCTGTAAAATGAGTCCGAGGGGCTCCTTTCTGCCCTCGCTTTCCTTTTTTTTTTTTTTTCTTT